TATCTGAAATTTGATTTTTGAAATTCATCCGAAATTTGAATTTTGAAATTCATTCGAAATTTGAACCCAAAAATTTATCTGAAATTTGAATTTTGAAATTCATCGAAATTTGAACCAAAAAATCTTATCCCGAAATTTTATCCGATTATGAATAGTCTTGACACGTAGGAACCCGTAAATCTTATCCGAAAATATTATCCAAATTAATTATTGAGGTAAAAAAACATTGTGAATAAAACAAAAAAATAAATAGTAACTGCCCTTAGCAAGGGCAACGGGTGGAAACACAAAATTCGGATTTTGCAAGGACAACCACTATTCATGTGAATAGTAGCTGCCCTAGCTCCCCCCCTTGCCATGGCTAAGGGCAAATGAGTGGAGTTGCTCTAAGCCTAATCAATTCTTTGCCTCTCTTCTAGTTAGTCCAATTGGAGAGCCTGCTAAATCCTTTTCATTGTTAGGTCCAACCTACTCATTGCAATTTTTTCTAGTTAGTACAATTTGAGAGTATGCTAAATCCTTTTCATTGTTTTTTTTTTTTTTTGTCGCTGTCAAAGTTTGGAAGGGGTGGGCGAAGTGCCATTAGGGTTCGAACTTTAGACTAATGATCTGCATCCTAATCCCATTTTTAAAGGGTTTCTGAACTAGGATTTCTTAAACCCTAAACTCAAAATCGACAGTCATTTTTAGGGTTTAGGGTATACCAATTTAAGTGCATTAAATGCAAAATCAAAAATTTCAAAGAATGCAATTAAAAAGTAAATAGAACTTCATAAGCAAAGCAAGGCAACTGGAACGTCTTTTGCTCCTTCCTCTCCTACTTTCAAGTAATCTGAGTTCTTTATTTCTCTTTAGTTTGCGATTTTGATAGGGGTTTTAAGAAATTGTGATCACGAACATATCAAGTTTCTTTGTCACAGATATTGAGGTTTCAGCTTTTATTTTATTTATTGTCTGACATCTCATATCTACCGTGCATGGAATGGAAGTCCATGTTCTTTTTCTGTTGCTGCAGAGTGAAGGCCTCTCCTTGTGAAAATGGTTCGGACCCGTTAAGAGAGAAGAAGAAGAAGAAGAAAAAATTTGGGGTTCAATTGAGGGAAGATAATGGCCAGATTTTAAGAAGAAAAATTTGGGGCTTGATTTAGTTATGGAAGAATATGGTAAATGAGTTCTGAGTCCTTCGTAGAACGGGAGAGAAACAGAGAGACAGAGAGGGGTGAGAAAGATAAATGTGTTACTTTTAAGTTATCAAAGGCACGTGACGACAACTCAAATTAATATTTAATTTCTA